TAATAAAGTGCTTATTTTTATTCTTGTTGACTTATCGAGAGAGAGCTGCAAGATAATTAGGGTTTGGGCTATAGAGATATAGGTGAACTCAGAAAGTTAAGTTATTATGCATTGTGGTTTAACTAATTTAATTAGTTAATTGTGGGTAGAGAGATCATTCACACCACAAAATCAAATGGAACTTGCACTTAATGATTCATAACTATGTTGGCCATAGAGATGTGAGACTTAGTATACATGTAGAGTTGGTGAGAGCCCTTGCATGCATTAGTGTTTTGATTACTGTTTGGATAATTGCTATAGCATTGCTACTGCATTCTGGTGATATTGCAATAATGGGAAAATTGATCCCAATCTATCTTTAATACTTGGAAAACCTATTTTATTACTGCATTCTTTTAGTTAATTATTAGTTTTATTGTTTAATTAGTCATTAACCTCTTCCAACTTATCTTTGTTACCTTGATTGCTTCACATTGATTCCAACTTTATAGTTTTCTTCGTGGGAACGATATCTGGACTCACACATCCACTTTATTACTTGTTGACACGTGCACTTGCGTGATGTGTGATTGATAAAGGGGTACACAATGGCACAACAAGATTCCAACGTGCTTCTCCACAATTCAAGTTTTCTATTAACACCATCCTTGCTCTCATCAATAAGCACAATATCATCTGCAAAAAGCATACACCATGACACTTCCTCTTGAATATATTTTGTTAGTTCATCCATAACTAAGGCAAAGAGATAAGGACTTAAAGCTAACCCTTGGTGTACACATACCGTGATAGGGAAATAACTTGATGTTTCGTTACAAGCTTTCACACATGTAGTAACCCCATCATACATATCCTTGATTGCCTTTACATACTTTGACGGTACCTTTTTCTTCTCAGAACCCACCATAAAACTTTCCTTGGAACCTTATCCTATGCTTTCTCAAGGTCTATGAACACCATATGTAAGTCCTTCTTCTTTTCTTGATATCTTTCCATTAGTTGTCGCATCAAGAAAATGGCTTCCATGGTACATCTTCCTGGCATAAATCCAAATTGATTTACAGAAACATTGGTATCTCTTCTCAAGTGATGCTCAATAACCCTCTCCCACAACTTCATAGTATGACTCATTAGCTTAATGCCTATATAGTTTGAACAATTCTGTATATCTCCCTTGTTTTTGTAGATAGACACAATCATACTTTTCCTCCATGCATCAGGCATCTTATTTGTCTGGAGAATCTTATTGAAAAGATTGGTCAGCTATTTTATTGCCACATCTCCCAGGCCTCTCCACACTTCAATAGGGACCCCATCAGGTCCCAGGGCTTTATTAGTCTTCATCCTCTTTAAAGCCTCCTTAACTTCATGTGTATTAATTCTGCACACAAATCTTCTATTCAAATCATCATAAGCGTCCTCCAAGTCCACCTCGCTTATATCTCCATCCCCATTAAACAGCTTGTTGAAGTAGTTCATCCATCTTTACATCTTCATCTCTCACCAAAAGTTTTTGATTTTCATCCTTGATGCATCTAACTTGGGTGAGGTCTTTACTTTTCTTATCCCTTATCTTTGCAAGTTTATAAATACCTCTTTCACCATCCTTGCTCCCAAGATTTTTATACAACTCGTCGAAAATCTTACCCCTAGCTTCTCGCACTGCTTTCTTTGCATTTTTTCTCGCCAATCTAAACTTTTGCAAGTTATCTTCACTGGGACTTTTATGCAAAGATCTAAATCACTCCTTCTTGTGTTTAATTTCCTATTGCACCTCTTCATTCCACCACCATGTTTCCTTTGTATGAAATTCATTTCCTTTGTATGAAATTCATTTCCTTTGCTTTCTCCCAACACCCTCCTTCCCATATTTTGAATACACTTAGTCATCTCATTCCATATTGCATTTGCTCATCCATCAAACTCCCAAGGTCCTTCGTGCAACATTCTTTCATTGAACTCTCTCTTTTTTCCCTCCTTACGCTTCCACCACCTTATCCTCGGGTTCTGAGCCCTCTTCCTCATTGTAAGTACTTTGTTGAACCGAACCTCCAGGACTACCAGCTTATGTTGCGTAGCGACACTCTCTCCAGAGTAGACCTTACAGTCGACACAAGAAGTTCTATCTTCTCTTCTAGCTAGAAAGAAATCAATCTGACTACGATTTTGGCCACTATGATATGTGATTAGATGTGACTCCCTTTTTCGAAAAAAGATGTTCGCTAGCATCAAATCATAGGCTAGTGCAACATTCAAGATATCTTCTTCAATCTCGTTTCTCGTCCCATTGCCAAAACCTCCATGAATTCTATCAAAACCTCCATTACTTTTACCAACATGACCATTTAGATCTCCTCTTAAGAAAATCTTCTCCTCTCGAGGTATTCCCCTCAAAATCTCCTCCAAGTCTTCCCAAAATTAACTTTTATCAATTGGTTGCAATCTAACTTGGGGTGCATACACACTGAAGATATTCAGGATTACTTACCAAAAAATCACTAATAAAAATTAAATACTATATATTTTCTATATCCTGATTACTTTATATTGAGTATTTCAAAGTACAATAGTTAGAACTTTGTATTCATAATTAAATATTGTTTCCTGACCTCAAAACTCAGTTGTTGAATTTTTATTTTATTTTTTGGCAATCGGGTGTTGAAAGCTAGTTATGAATATGTATCATAGCGAAACAAGCACTTGTAATAGTTAAATATTGTACGTAAATAAATTTAGTGTGTTCCTGAAAAAAAAAATGGTATATGCTCATACCTCGTTGTTTCCTACTAATATTTTACTCATTTAACGTTCACTCAAAGAAGATGTTTACTTTCTTTATTGAACATGAGTTTTTAAGCTAGTGACTGCATGCAAGACACCCTCTTGGCGTTTTATTATTACTTTATTTAAAAAGAATCAATGCATGTAACCCAATAAATTTAATAACTAATTGGAAAACTTTTTTTTTTGGTAGGTAAAAATCATTGTTTTAGTTTAGCCTTAAATGTTGGCGATGCTTTGATTCAGAGTTTATTTACAAGATATATAGATGGCCTAGCGTCTTGATTCAGTTGATTGTTGTTGCAAAATGGACAAAGAAAAACTGACAGTCAAAAGTTTTCATGTATTCATGTAATTTCTCTTTATTTATTTTTTTAAAAATTGATTTACAAATATCGGATTTAAACATATATTTTAACATCAAATATCTTCACTTAAAATCATTTTAAAACTAAAAATTAGTATAGACTAATCAACATTCTTACTATATTTCACTAAATTTAAACTTTAATCGTTCATTTAAGAGTAAGTCGCTAAAATCATACAAATGTGTTCATTTAATAATATAAATAAAGGAAAAAATGTTTATCATTTTAAATGACATAAAGTTATGTTATTTTAAGAGAGAGCTAGACACAAAATATTTTTTATTTAAAATTTAAATTAAAAAAAACTACTCACTTTCTCTCTCTCATGATTTCTATTTTTTTTTGTCTATCTCTCTCTTATAATGACATAACTTAGGTAATTTAAAATGACAAACACCAAACCCATAAATAAATATGGAGAAAGATTCGTTTACAATTTTTTTTACAAATTACACTAAGTATAACCAGTCATACACTCTTGATTGAAGTATGACCGATCATACTTAGTGTAGTTTATAAGAGTTTGTAAACAAAAAGTTGGTAAATATAATATTTTCCAATAAATATTACCTATAAAATTTTCTACTCAGTCAATAACAAAAAATGCCACATTACTAAATGAAATATTGTTCCTTCAATAATTTTTTTCAATTATCTCTAAAATAATTTGAATTGCACCAAATAATTCATTCTTTATGTAAAAAAAACAAAATTACATGATCAATAAATCTAAATTGATTTGCATATTTCGACCCTCCCTATGAAAAAGACGACAATCTTTCAAACAAATCATTTTAAAATTTTGTAATTAACATATGCTTTTAGGATACAGGAAATGAATTAAAAATATTATCAAATAAAAATTATTATTTTATATTTCAAACATTTAAAAAATATTATAAGACTTTAATATTTCTATAGTGAATGTAGATAACTTATATTTATTCACTCCCAAAATGATATTATTTTAAGTTTGAAAAATTTAAAAATTATAATGAGAAAGACTATTATAATCCCGAAATAAATTATAGTTATAAAAATATCTTGATTACTATCCAAAACGACGTCGTTTTGGGCTCAATGTAAAAAATAAACTCTAAATAATTTTAAATAAATCCTATATCCTAAACTTATCTACTCGTCACCTGCAGAAAAAATAAACTCATATTATAAATATAATTTTATTTATAATCATGAATAATAATTGAAATATGATAATATGTTATGTATACCTTTTTTTTATGCCTAGTTGCCTACTCAATTTATTTATATCTAGTACTATTAAATCAGAAATTTATTAGGAGAGAAAAAGAATAAAAGTTAGTTAAGATTCTAACCTAATGATATTGAAGATAAATAAAAATAAGGTAAACATAAAAAAAAGGAAGGATATACTTATCACCAAAAAGTTTACAACCTTCTCAACCAACTTAATCACCGTTAATTTCCGTCAATCTAATGGTTAATAATTTATTGAAAATTATCGGGTCGTATTTATTAATTAATTATTAATTTCCAATAAATTATAACCGTTAGATTAACGAAAATCAACGGTGATTAGATTAATTGTAACAATGATAAATTTTTTTGATATAAATATATCTTGTACAAAAAAAAATTTAGGTAGAGTATCCTAGCCTATAATAAGTTATTATTCATGCCAACAAAACATTTAAAAGAAGGAGAAAATTAAAAACGGCGTTGTTTTTGGCATGAGATCAGTGATGAGAGCATTGAATGGAAACATGAGACAAGGAGGGGTTAAGGTGAGTGAAACTCTCTCAGAGCAGAGTTGAACGACGGTGTCGTTGTAGGTACCGTTCTTATTCTAATTCCTTTGCCTGACATCAATTTCACTACTCTCTCTCTTCTTCGATTCCATTGGAGTAGCTGTAAGTTTTCTCTCTCATTGCACATTTCTCTCTCTCTCTCTCTCTCTCTCTCTCTCTCTCCGTCTTTCTTTCTCTCTCTCTCTATATATATCATTATCAATTTGTAAAGCTTTCTAGGTAATGTATAACCTTTCACTGCAACTTTCTACTCTTTTCTCGCTCTAGTTACTTGCTACCCCCTAAAATAACCCCCCCCCCCCCCCCCCCATCCAAATTCACTACAAGATTCATTGTATACTGCAATTTCGCGATATTCAGTTGATTTGCCCGCACCCGCACCTTTTCCCTCTGATTCATGTCCTTGCATTATTGCATGGGTAGAGTGGTGTGGAATAGTACTGCTCAAAATGAAAGAAGGTCTTAGAGATTGGCTTCAAAATTTCGTGTTATAGCTTTATGTCTACTTTAGAGCACAATGATGTGATCACAATTTGAAAGGGGTAAGGCTCCCCGAAGGATAGGAAGGTTATACGCAATCTTAGCTCGCCCTCAGATTAGATAAACTTAAAAAGGAGAGAAAAAAAGTTCCTTAATGTCCTTTTCTTAAGTGTAGAATGTTTTTGGTTAGTGAGTGCCATTCAATAGTTTTCTTTTTTTCTTGTATTTAAATGTTCAACCTGTAGTGTAGCCAATTTGCTTTGCTTTCACTTTCTCTTTTATCTGAGCAACAAGTTATGAGTTCTATCCGTGGTCTTGATTCTTCTTTAAGTGGGAGAATTACTTTTTCACTTAAAGATAGCTATAATAATCTTGAAGAGGCCAGTGTTAAAACTGCTCTTGTGTGATTAGTCATGCGTTCAAATTCAGAAAATAACCTCTTTATAAAATATTAAAATTACGAGAGTAAGGCTCCATATAAAGGTTTCCCTTGCCCCTACTCTTGTAAGTTGGGATTTCATGGGGAGTGGTTTTCTAGCTATAGTAATCTTGATCAAATATATTTTTTGGTGGTTTCTCCTGCATTTTTATTAAAAATTTTCCTTCTATTCTCTCTCTCTCCCCCCCTCTCTCACTTTTGAATTTAAGTTCTTTTTATTAGGCTATAGAAGCCTCTTTTTTGCCATATTATGTCATTGGGATCAGTCAGTAGTTGACAAACCAATTTGTGCTGTATTTGCTCTGTGTCCCTCATGTCTGTCTCTAACTATGAGAAATTAAGATAGGCCATTAGCTAAGGTTTGGCTGTGTTGAATTGAAAGTTTTCTTGCTTTTCTTGCCACTGTCTGCTTCCTTTAAGTACATTGTACGATTCATCTTAAGGAACTAGTGGGAAGGATTTGTTTGTGACAATGAAACATCAAATTGCTGAGGGATTATTATTTAGTGATCATCTTGCTCTTTAAGTGTTTATGGTATGGTATTTATCCTTAGATGATTGTGATCGTATTTTTTTGGTAGAAGGTTAGAATAATCATATTTTTTTGGTAGAAGGTTAGAATAATAGCCATGTTCTTCGTATAATGATAACCTATGTAAGATGGTGTTACTAAGATGCCTATGTTATCAATTATTAACCTGCGTATTCTGTGTCTGTGAGTAATTGGGGACATATGATGAGGACAATGTGCTTTTGACAATATGATTACTTTGTTAAGCCTGGTGGACAAGATCATTCATTAGCTTTATTTGAGTTGCAATTTTATGGCCTGTTTGTTTCAGGCATTTGAGGTGAGAAAATGCCTGTTTTCTCACCTCAAGTTTGTAAAACAAACAGGCCTTTCCTTATTTGTTTTTGCCTTTATTTCCCCTGAGCAAGTACAAGATATTTATTCCATATTTGTGATTTAACATTAAATCGTTATTTCTATATATTGAAAACCCTCATATGTCCAACATGTTTCCGAACAACACTAACAAAGAAATAAGTGTGTTGCATGTAATGAAACTAAAGTTGAAAGAAATGGTGGGTACATACCTGTATGCAGCCAGGGGTACTCCTACTGGATAATTTTCATAAATATGGTTGAATTTTTAGTAAGTACACATACATTATGTTTGAAATATTAGCCTTGCTGTACCTTTCTGATTGGTTGTTCTTGTTTATATTCGATCATTTTTAAGTGCAATAAAGATATAACTAATATCTCAAGAAAAAGAATATTATTTTGACCATTTACCATTGACTCAAATCAGCAGCTAACATAACTGTTTTTCAACTATTTAAAAGGATATATACTAAAATCTTGTGGAAGTTTAAAAGTCCGAAGTTTCTGGTCTTGATTGTACTGTAAAGAGGAAAGTTGCTTCTTCATCTAGGGTAGCTTTACCAATGCAGTAATACCTGCTTATAAATCTTTTCTTTCCTCTCATTGTACAACTTGATGTTGTGTAAAATTTTAAAAAATGTCTTAATGGATGTTGTGAGACTGCAAATTTTCCTTTTGCCTAACGGCGGTATTTTTTACCAGTGTTTTAAGACTGTCAATTAAGATGATTATTGATGGTCATTAATACCTTTGGTGCTTTTGGCTGGAAATTAATGGTCTGTCAAATCTGCAGGGCTTCATTATTATTATATTGTTTTATCTGTTTAATTTTAAAAAAGTGAATAAGTTACTGTACAAAAAAATAAGATGAGAAATTAACTTAATCCTCAAATTTCTATCTTATATTTGAGAAGGAAGGCTGAATTGCATGTAAATTTTATGGAATGCGCATGCTTTTTAATGCTATTCTGAATAATTTCAAACATAGTAGTCACTAGCACTAGACACTAGTACAGATAGGGTTGTCATATCTGGAATGTCATGGATATGAGGGTATAAAAGATTTTGGAAAATAAAAGATACATGTATGGTGGGTTTCTATATATTAAATCACGTGCCCTCTGTCTTGACCACAAAATGTATGCAGTCTGTTTATCAAAATGTATGAAGTCCTTCCTATTATGTTCTCAATGTTGTATTGTCTTAGGTTTATAGTGTACATTGGAATGTGTCGTTTATCTCAAAATTGTCTTATTAAAATATGTAGCTTAAGTGAATTTTACTGACTAGCAACACAAATAAAGTTTAGCACTGTCCATCTTCTTAAATTTCACTGTATAAAATGGAATTTGAAATGGTTTAGCGTAATTCATTGTTGGAGTCTTGCAGAATCTCAATCTAACACTTTTTTTTCCAATAAATGATGGTCTGCTTTCATCTGTAGTACATACAAAATATAGAACTACCCATATAGCCATATAAAATTTGTTAGATTCTTTAAAAATTGTATTAGAATGATGTTTGGGATTATTTCATGCTGATTAGTTTAGTTTGCTTGTTTGTTCCTTCTAAAAATTTTCTCTCAATATTTCCCCCCCACCCCTCTGCGCTCTCTCAAAGCATTTCTCATTTGTTAACAATGTTTGCCTTTCAGCTGGAAATTGTTGATTGATTAAACCTAAAGATTTCTTAATACCAACAACTGCATCTGTTGCAAGTCCTCTAGATGCAAGATGGATGATGGCCGCCAACATGAGAACAGTAGGCATAAGATGGAATACTACAGAGGAGCACATTCTCTGGTAAATAGAATGCATAAGTTTTGTATGTGTTTTTTTTTTAGCTTGCATTACTGGATGTATTAATTGGATTGAATTTTAAATGTGCAGTGGAATACAGATCCCCAGCATCAAGTGGAGCAGCCAAATGCACTAGTTATGAATAAGAAAATTAGGTCCATTATGGCTGAAAGGCAGGCTGCCATTCTAGAACTTGAACTAGAGGCTGCTATATCTGAAAAGAATGAAGCCTTGGCTGCTCGAGATGCAGCCCTTCGGCAGAGGGATGAAGCACTTGCTCAGAGGGACAATGCCCTATTGGAACGGGACAATGCCCTTGCAGCCCTTCAAAATCGGTTCGATGGTGGAATTCAGAGTGGATCAAAACGGATGCACCATTCTTCAAATCATCAATCTAACATGACAGAAACTGCATACAGCACAAAGGATATGACAATAAGGGATGCCTCCTCAGTGACTGTTATAGCTTCTGAAGCTGTCAAATCTCATCAAACTAAGAGAACGAAGGAGAACAAGGTAATTAATTCTAAGGCATCAAAGCCACCTAACAAAGTAAAGAAAATGGGTGAGGATTTAAATAGGCAGGCTTCTTCTGAAGGGACAAAGATCAAATCTGAATGGGATAGGCAGGATGTTGGCTTGAATTTGGTTGCATTTGATGAAACTATAATGCCAGTCCCAGTTTGCACATGCACTGGAGTACCACGGCAGTGCTACAAATGGGGTAATGGTGGATGGCAGTCATCTTGTTGTACCACCACATTGTCAATGTATCCACTACCACAGCTTCCAAACAAGCGCCATGCGCGCATTGGAGGACGAAAGATGAGTGGAAGTGTCTTTACAAGACTGCTCAGTAGGTTGGCTTCAGAAGGCCATGATTTATCTATACCATTGGATCTTAAGGACTACTGGGCCAGACATGGAACAAATCGCTACATTACTATCAAGTAGCTTGCAGACATTCATTAGAATGGAGTTGTGTTCCACTTTGGACCCCTCTCACCGGCCTTTAATTGAAATTATGCCTTGATAAGCACGATTTGCTTGAATTTTATGAACGCAGGTGATTTTTCAATAGAAGGCTAACACCCCTTGCTTATTTTCAGTTATTGGTATGGCTATACCCAACTTTTATCCCTAAAACTGAGACAGCTGTAAAGTATTTTGTATGCACATGTGGCTTTCTAGGTGGCCAGAGGTAGAACCATGGGGACCTGCATGGTTTCAGCTTTGTCTGTCCATTGTGTAGGAAACTTTTCTCCACCTTTTTTAACCCTTTATGAAATCCTTTTATTTTTCTATATTTATAAAATTCAATGTGGGGATTTTCTACATCCCTTCTGGATCAAAAGTCCCCGGAGAAACTTTGTGTGAATTGAGCTTGTGCTGTTCAGCTTAGCTTTTAATTGCTTTTAGCTTTAGAAAAAAATTGCAACAATCCCTCATGAGACACGGTCACAGAAACTCATTGTCTTGTTTTTTATAGATCATTTGGACTAGAGTATTGTTCATATAGTAATAGCTAAATTTACTTCAAGATCAAGTTGAATGGAATTGATGCAGTTTGGATTACAGGATTAAGCTAAATAGGCAACATGCTGCTAAACCCACACTCTCCCATCATTGTCAAAATCTTGTTTTCAATCCATCATTTAAGTAGTCTTTAAGACAGATTTGGTAAGCAGTAGGTTATTGGCCTGTCAATTAAACAGTTAATTATAAAAAAAATTCTGAACTTGAAGCTTCGCAAGTTCTTATGCTTTATTGGCTCAGCATTTATTCCAAACAAGTTAATTTCGTTCTCCCTCTTCTGAACAAAAAAGGTTTAAATTTTAAAGCCAAAAATTCCAAAATTAAACATAAACTAATGCCCTGTGAGGTCATCTATCAGGTTACAGTTTCAAATATATTTTGGGTAGGGGAGAAGCGCTTTAACTCTGACTAAATTCTAATTCGAGATTAGTTTCATAACTGGTTCAAAGGGTTAAAGTTTGTGGGAATACTTAGCTTTAACTATAATTAAGCCTTGATTCGGGTTTAGTCTCATAACCGGCTCAAAGGATTGGAGTTTGTGAGAATATTTAGGATCAACTCATCTCAAAAAGATAATTAAAATTGATATATATATAAAAAAAAGATTTGTTTACAACCATTTTGAAAGGTCTTGTAAACCGGTGTGCCCAGGTTCACTCCATGAGCCAAACCAGCCAACTAGTCTGCACTATTATTTCTTTTCTTATAGAAGTGAAGGATCTTTATATGACAATCTGGTTCTATTAACGAAAAGGGTGCCATAAAACTCACAACTATTGACACGAGTCTTCATTTAGAATAATAGTAATGATAAAAAAAACAAAAGCTAAGTCTCACAAGTCATATTTACATGACCATTCATTAACATGTAATCCGCTGATGATAGAGGAAAAAGATGACATAGTTTAACTATGATAGTTACATATATTGTTCCACATGCACTTCTTTTTTCAACCCCCTCACCAATCACCATAGCAACTTCTTTGAAGCCTTAAACATGAATCTCTTTGAAGTTCATCGCGGATATTACAGTAATTATCAACAATGAAACAACTGAAACATAGGAAAATGTGAGCGAAATGGTGACTCTGCCACAGAATTTCCTAAAATAGCCACAGATAGGAGCCCAACCCGTATGGGAATTTCCATGCAGCCCCACGTCCCCAATAGCTGTTGCAGCCGCACATCCCGCAATCACTAACGTTAACATCATCTGTTATATGATCACAAGCAAAACCACAACCTCTTCCCATTCATCATTTTTTGATAAAACTCAGAAAGTTTCAGATTTATTTATTTTTTTCTCCTTAAAATGTTTGACTGTGATCATATTTTATAACAATATAATCAAAATTTATTTCATCCCAATGATCACATTTTTCTTCATTAATTAATCACTTTGAGTATTAAATAGAAGATTTTTTTTTATAAAAAATAAATAAAGAGAATCTAATATGTGTTCTGCATAGAAGCTAATGCAGTGGAATCTTGAGAAACCATACCATGTCATTCAGGAACAAGAAGTAGTAGCAGCTGCAGGGGCATGTACCTCGAAGGTAGAAAAAAATGGCAGGAAATAAAGCTAAGAGCATAAGGAAGCACGCAATAGCATTTGCATAAACAAAGAACCTACAAGGTAGAGATACAAATTAAATATCATACAAGCATTAATTATAGTATGTGGTGTGAATATGTGATCATACTTGAAAACAGAAGAGTAGCTATATCTAGCATGGAATTGTATGCCCATGATTATGGTAGATTGGTGGCTGGTTAGCATACAAAGCATTGCAGTGAATGTAGCAACTATTGCTACAAGTCTCAATGTAATCTGTGTTCCCTTAAGAATTCTGGGGGTTTTCAGAAATGGGGTTACTTGAAATTTGGCATCAACAGTTTGAAGTTCATGCATAGCAGGAAAAATGGAATTCTTTTGAGGTTTGGCTTGAACATTGGCCATTGAATCTTGAGGAGAGGGCATGTTTCTGTTGAACAACATTTTAGATTTATAATGAGTGAAAAAGATCAAGATTCAAGCTCGAGGGTAGCGGGTACATAGAAAGAGTGACACCATGAATGGTATTTATAAAACAAAAAGGCAAGAGAAAAGGTAGCTTAGATTTATATTTAGTTGTCTTTCTTATTATGATTTAATTCCGTGTCATCCAAAATAACAAATAGGAAACACATTATATGCTTGTTGCAAATTTCTACTCATGAACCATAACGCGTGCAATTTATTCTCTCATCCGTGCTGCACTGATTTGAGTCAGAAACCAATGTGAAAGTCAAAAGTATGAGCTTATATATTTTGCCCACGCTAATCTACTAATTAATAGTGTCAAGTATTTGTACCCCTCCAAAAAAAAAAAAAAAAATACAAAATAGTGTCAAGTATCGTGGTAAAAATTTCAATTTCCGATGCATTGCTTTGGTTTCATTCAAAATAAATTTAGGATACTTAGCTTTCATGTTGTGTTTATTAAAAAATTTCAAACTCAACATTAGTAGGAGATTGATACGGCACGTTTTGGTAGTTACAGGCTTAAGGTTTGGCATTTTCCTTATAGATAAGTTCCTACCTTAGTTGACAATGTCCTTTTCTATTTTCTTATGAATTGCAAATTGCAGTGTCCAAAAATTACAAGAAACCAACTGGACATTGAACTTTGTATGCCATTAATACAAAAACTCCCATTAAACAAGGAAAAGGCATTACGGCGAAAGCAAAACACTTGAAATGTGTAACCGAAAAAAAAAAACACACTTGAAATGTCATTGAAGAATATAATAAGTTATACCAACAGATAGGACTAACTAATTAAGTGGGGTTTGCCGTTTACCTACCACTATATTCTTGAATTACAATTAATGCAGGGCTAGGACTCAGGGTGCGTGTCTCGTAGAGATATATGACACATGCAAAGTAGCAGTACACATAAATAAGGCTCCTTTCACGTTCTCTAATACCCTGCGTTCTAAAACCTTGCTTCCTATTTTAACTCCGGCTATAATTTTCATGGCCAAAAATACATCTTCTTGTCTTCTTTTCGAGCTTAATTATGTTCTAACCAAATTACATCCTTAACAAAGAAGGAATTGAATCTTCTTATGTTAAAATTTACATGATATACTCATATTAAAATTTTATATCTATTTCTCTCTTTATTAATGTTAACTAAACACCACTTATTTAATTTTTAGAAAGAGAGAAACAAACACAAAATTTTACAGGCGCTACATATTTGGCTAGGAACCAACTTTAGCAACTGTCTTGTTATGAGAAGTAGATACTGGACTGCACGTCTAAGATTCACTACGAGAAATTGAGAATGCTTTCCATTTCGAAACGTTGATTCGTTGTTCCTTTCCACTAACTTAATGGTTTTAATGCACTTCAATGGCAATTGATTTCTAATTTCTTCAAGGAGTTAAGGGAACTGCTATGCTATGAAACTAAAGTTGAAAAGTATCACGCTTCAGCTTAATCAATGATTTTGAGTTTGAGTCCTAACGTACAATAATGTTAAAAGTTTAGTTGAGAGAGCTCTATCGCATTTGTGATTTTATCCTACTCGACCGAATTAATCGAATAATTGATAAAAAAAAAATCTAAAAAAAAAAGTTGCATATGGGTATTTCCTTTCGTGATAATTCCAAGTTTGGTTGGACTTGTTTAGTCTCAAGTCTCAACAATGTTAAATTTTTGGAAAATCTTTGGGGACAGAGGACGTGCCTCTCTCCTATAAGGAGGATTAGTTACATCCTTATCCGTTAACGAAGTTCAATGCATCCGTTGTTCCAATGAGGGGGAGCTTTTCAGCCGTACTCCAAGGACAAGTGATCGGAAGAGGTTGAATGATGATACTTTCCAAGTTATACAAAAAAAAAAAAAGTCTCAACAATGTTAAATTTTTTTCTTCTTAATCTTTCAATATGATGCAAATTATACCTGTCAATTAAAATAGAGAAATTATACTTATAATATATTTTTTCCTTAAAATGTGTAAGGATAGACACTTTATGTGTATTCTTTGTGAGAGAGAAGTTTGAGAATATTTACTTGCTCCAGAAAAGAACTTTTGTATATCATCTTTGTAAGGTGAAATTTTAGTGTAGTGTACCTCTAGTGCTTATTAGGACTGTTTGGTAGATGATAAATTTTTTTTTATCCGAAAATTATGAATTCCGAAAATATAGTGGGGAATAAATTTTTACTGGAATGTTACTAAAAAGCTGTTTGGTAAGCTCACATTTTCTCAAGAATATTTGATTAATTTTACTGAGTCTGTGTTTAGTTAATTATGAAATATTAAGGGAAATATAGGGTTATTTTACAACGATACCCTCGATTTTGAATAATCAACTTGCAGCAAAGAAAGGGAAGCAATATATGCAACAGGGTCCTTTTGCTTCTTCATGCTTCTGATACCCGTGTTGCTGCAAGCTGCCCTCTTGGTTAGAGAGAACAAAGCTGGAAGTGCAGTGCTGACATACTAGCACAGTTTGCTGGTAAGTTCACTCTCAGGTGGCTGTTGCTGCTGTGCAACGTTGACCAAGGTAACTTGTAAGCTGCCCTCTGATACCCGTATAGCTTGCAAGTTTTGGTGCCAGATCTTTGCAAACACAACTTCACCAATCGTTCAAAACAGAGGGTTAATCTCGTCCACCTGGTCATTGTTTATTTCTTACTTCCCCGAGCAAGCTATTTTTCCAAATAAACCATGGAGTTTGAAAGCTGGAGTCTCTACTTCATTTTGCACACAATACACAAATTCGGGAAAAAAATTTGACGAAAACTTTTTACTTTTGGGCCAACCAAACGTTGATTTCATGTTTTCCCTACCATGCTTTCCAGGGCATTTATAAATAATCTGCATACCAAACATTACCTTAGGGAATAATTGTTGTAAATGTGAAAGATTTTTTGAACTATTTTTTATTCCTCTACATCATGGGAGTATTTCTATGTTAGAAATTTCTGTGTATTTTTCTTATTCTCTCTATATCTCTTTCTACGATTTTGTGTTTCTATAATAGGGGCCTACCTTCAAGTGTTGAGTTGGTGTGCTCCACCTAACGACCTTATATATTTGAAATTCGGGAAAAATCTTTTAATCCGATTTAAGAATAAAATAATTTATTTTTCATCTTAATCATTGATCTTTGTATATCAAACAGTTATCTCACATTCTTACTTGAAACTTGGAAAATTCAAATATTTTATGTATACAAGTCTTCCAATTTATATGAACTTTACTTATATAGATTTATGGGTTCTCCCACTTAAATAGACTTCACTTGACTCATTATTGATTAATGTTGACTTCATCACACTTAAATATCCTAATAGAAATGTTATCCTAGGGAAAGAATTTTTCACTATGCCACCTAAATGTTAAAATGCCATGACATGGGTAGAATTTCCTATTATGTCACGTTCTTCTGTGTGGTTGATGTAGCAAATTGAATTAACTTAATTGCTTCTTATTAGGCAATGCGGCAAAATTATAATTGTCCATCCTAAATTACACTTATTTTTCCACTTATATTTTCAGTGGCGGAGCCGGGCTATAATTTTAGTTCGGGCCAAAAAATTTTACATATTAAATTATTAAAATATTTATCATAGTTACATAATTTTATTAAGAAAAAAATTTACTATCTTATCTAAATTATTTACTAAAAATGTCACGTAACATTAAAAATTTAAATGAACAATTGCCAATGATTATATATCAAAGCAAATATATAAAAATGCACCAACATTTTCGGTAAGAATTTTAAACATAAGAATTGCACTTTTCTCTCACATCATAATAAGTAATGAACCAAACATTATCCTAAAGATATGAAAACACACAAATATAATAATTATATGTAAACTAACATTTAATAAATAATTTAAAATATAATAAAAAATTTATACCTAAAATTGTAAACAACGCTATTTTAAATTGACAAAATCTTCAAGAATAGAATCTGTAGTAAAAGTTTCAACAATCTTTCTTTCAATATACTCAACCAAATTATTTGCAAAAAAGTTATAATCTATTTTGTTTCATTTTTCACAATTTTCATTGCTGAGAATGCACGTTTACTACTTGCTATTGAAACTAGTATTGTTGAGATAAGATGAATTAACCTATCAATCAAATGATAGAAATTTGACTTTCCTGTCTTAGCTAATCCCTGACACAACACAAAAATTGAAGATAAAATTTAAAATTCTGGATGTTTTGGGATGTCCTTGTGGAAATGTTTCAATTGACAATTCAAATTAATTATCTCTTGCTTAGAAAAATCAAGAGGATAGTATTATTTGCAAGACTATAAATATCATCAATATTAAATGCTTTGTAACCATTCTTCGGATAGAGCTAAGTGATAAAAGCTCCATTGTTTGCTCAGTAAATGTAACGCTCGGCCGCTTCAAGAATCAACGACTATCCCCACATACTAACACGAGACTTTTCAGTGTGCTTTTTCCTCACTCGCACACTTCCCGGGAAAACTTCCCAGGAGGTCACCCATCCCAGAATTGCTCCAAGTCAAGCACGCTTAACTGTGGAGTTCTTCCGTTCCGGGCTACCGAAAAGAAGATGCATCTTGTTAGTATATGTAGTACCAATTAATTCTTATAAGCTATCCCAAACTGTGCAGCCTTATACCTGCACAGCCTTTGGAATCCCTCTCTTTCGGGTGTCGATTCGATTCATTCATGCATGTAACCCCCCGCTGGAAGCCTGTCAAGAGCCGCTCTTTGTCCGTGCCTCTTTGCACCGGCGATCACTCCCCGCCCTCGTCAGCGCTCGGGATGTTACAGTAAACCTTCTATCTATCTCTTGTAATAGAAAGTCAATGGTTAAATTAAAGATATCAAAATCATAGGACAAGAGGTAACAGCAGAGCAGCTGACAGAAAGAAGAACCCTAAATTGAGAGAGTTATAATTTTATTAAATTCTTTTTAATTGTTTACAACAAAAAATGTTTTTTAATTTTATTAAATATGTTTTTAATTTTTTTTATACAAGTGAGAATAGACACATAACCTACCAAAATTCCTCACCAAATATATTTTAATTCTTAGATAAGATCAAATTAATTTTAACTTAGGCTAAATTATAAATTTAACCCGAGTCAAATTATAATTATATAATTATTTATAATAAGTAAAATTTGTTAAAATTTAACTCGAACTTAGGCAACCCCAAACTTGTACGTGGCTTCGCCATTGTATATTTTCTCACTTCTTATAAATTGTACTAAATTAGTATTATTATTTTGTAATTAATTTTAAAATTAGCATTAGTTGAATTAAATCAAATAATAATTAATAATATAAACAATTCCACTGTTTTTTTTTTTACTTTATGCCAATTCCACAATTATTATTTGAACGTGGGTCCAAGGAATAAAAACAATTATTAATTGCACTTTTTTGCGTTTACTTCGTCACCAAGGAGTCAGGGGAAAACAATAACCCACTCACTCACTCTTGTTTTGCTTTACTTTGCTTTTTTTTCTTTTGGAGTAAACAGAGAATGGAAGAAGACTAACACTAGACCCTGATCTTTCTGTTTCGCACTTCACAAACATTCAGTCATTCATTCATCCATTGATTCATCGCACTAGCACACACGGATGAAGAAGGAAGACATGTCAGTGAAGGAACACGTAGAAGAGATACGAAGGAGCAAGTTCTCCATCGGAGGAGCATTTAATCCATTGACGGAGGACCTCCACCAAGCCGTTAAGAACCTCTCCGCCGAACTCTATGCCAAGGACGTTCACTTTCTCATGGAACTCATCCAGGTAATGTCATTTCAAATTTGCATACATTTTAAAGATTTTTATTTTATTTTCTTAGAAAAAAAATAAACAATGCTGTTAAAATCATATCGTCGCAAGTGAAATTGGACCATATAGAAACTCGAACTAGTATTTCTCAACAATAATAGGTAACTGATTTTCACTTATAATAACAAAATATCAACAAAGAAAAAGAAATGTATTTACCCTATTTAATGGCTTGGAGATGTTTATATTGCAGAATTATGCAATCAATCATAATATCCTATTGTTATTATATTGGATTGTTCACTAACCTAATTGACGTTTTGATTCTCCAGAATGCGGAAGATAACCAGTATTTTGGAGGAATGGATCCAACGCTTGACTTCATAATAACATCTACAGACATAACAGCCACCGGTGCTCCAGCTACATTACTCATTTTCAACAATGAAAAGGGTTTTTCTCCCAGAAATATTGAATCCATATGCAGTGTTGGACGGTCCACTAAGAAAGGCAACAGGATTAGTGGTTACATAGGGGAGAAAGGTAAATTGTCACACTTAGAAAGAAAGTCCTTGAAAGAGATATCGACAAGGACTATCTGTGTGCTTGTTTCCAATGAAGATGAGTAAAAAGCTTGAATAAATGTTATATACATATAATCATCATGTTTTAACTCTTGAGAATATATATTTGTTTTTGAACCTTAAGTTTTTAGGGAATGGCAATATGTCCATTAAGTTGGTTCTAACTACTTACCGAAAATTGATTTGACTGTGCTTTAGCAATTGGGGTTGAGCTTATTGTACACATGTAGCTTGCTGATTTAAGCTTGTTCAGTTTCACAAGCAGTGTTGTATCTATTGGAAGGTCTATTAAGATTGGTTTTATTTTTCAGTCTGCATGTGTATTATATACATGTAATTTCATGTATATTTAATCCAAATTATTTTAATGACTCTGAAGATTACTTATAGAATTTATTTTATGATTATACTGCAGGCATTGGTTTCAAGAGTGTATTTCTGATCACTGCTCGGCCTTACATATTTAGCAATGGATATCATATACGGTTCAATGAGGAGCCTTGTCCACATTGTGGTCTTGGGTATATAGTTCCTGAATGGGTTGAGGAGAACCCAACCCTTCAAGACATAAAACAAATATATCGTGCTGGTGACACCCTTCCAACTACTACATTTGTCTTACCACTGAAGCCAGACAAAGTCAAACCAGTGAAGCAGCAGCTCTCCAGCATTCATCCAGAAGTTTTGTTATTCCTTTCAAAAATTAAGCGTCTTTCAGTCAGGGAAAATAATGAGGATTCTAGGCTCAATACAATAAGTGCTGTAGCTATTTCAAGTGAAATTAATTTTGTGACAAGGAAAAACATCAATGCTGAGTCTTACACTCTCCGTCTCTCTGAGGAGGAAAATTGTGACTCTGAAAAGGAATGCAGCTACTACATGTGGAAGCAAAAGTTTCCCGTTAGGCAAGAAAACAGAGTGGAAAGGAGAATGGATGTAGAAGAGTGGGTTGTTACATTAGCCTTTCCAAATCAGGAGCGGCTGCAAGGGGGTAAAAGTTTACCCGGGGTCTACGCATTTCTTCCTACGGAAATGGTTACCAACTTTCCTTTTATAATTCAAGCAGATTTTGTCCTGGCTTCATCAAGAGAGACGATTATCTTGGATGATAAGTGGAACCAAGGGATACTTGACTGTGTTCCATCTGCTTTTATGGATGCATTCAAATCCCTTGTTATAGGAACAGATAAAGCTCCAGTATCTAGTTTGCCTCGGATGTTCCAGTTTCTACCAGTAAAAAGCTCTGCTTATGAGGAATTAAATGCTGTGCGGGAGAAGATACAAACAAAACTGGTTCAAGAAAACATTGTTCCCATTGAGACGTACAAGCAGCAGAAGCACTTTTACAAGCCTTGTGAAGTTGGCAGGCTATTGCCTGCTTTTTGGGATATTCTGACCGAGGCTCGGGAGCAAGGAATATCCTTTCATAACCTATCATCCCATGGAAGATATATCCTGAGTTCTTCATTTGATAAAGCCCAGTATGATCACATACTCAATTTCTTGGGAGTCAAACCAGTCCACAACAAATGGTATGCAAAGTGCATCCAGAGCTCTAATCTTTTGGACGGAGCATCAGAAGATGTCTATTTGAAGCTTCTACTGTTTATTGCTACTAACTGGGGGTCCAGATTTTGTGATTCCAAAATGATGAAAATACCACTGATTAAATATGTTGGTTCTGATGGAAGTGAGTCCCATTTTTGTCTTAATGAATGCACAAAGCACCAGGGCTCCAGGAGAGTTTTTCGAGCTTATCAAAATCAGTCTCATCTTATATCATGGCTGATTGGTTGGAACAAGGAATTCAGATGTGCATCCAATTGTTTTTTTATGCCGGAAAGCACACAGCAAGCGATCTGGGTATTCCCAAAGAAACATAGTTTGTTGGATTGGCTAGGCTATGAAGCTAATGTATCTCCCTTGAATGTATACAATTTTGCTAAACTTCTTTGCAATTCCATTCAGAATAATCGTAGGCTTGCCATTACATATGCTCACTTCTTGTACCACTCATTTTCAAAAGGTTATTTGACACTTCAAGAGGTTGGTAGCCTATGTGGTTCTATGCCTCTTGTTGATAATTATGGATGTGTGACTGCATGTAGAGTTGGAGTTCTTGTTCCTGCTAATGTGAGCAAATGGGCAGACTTGACTGTTTCTAATCCATGGAGAGATGAAGGCTATATTGAGTTGGGAAAAGAATACGTATATTCTTATCATTGTGCTGGCCAACATACACGCCAGGAGGAGCTCCTAGACTTCCTTGTAACTCATGATGTAGCTTCTGATATACCTCATATATCTGCTCCTGATGCTGGGATTTCTGGTTTAGATACGCCACTTACTAAGGAAAATGCTTTCTTGCTCTTGGATTGGATTCGGAACCTGAAATATAGGGGAATGAGTCTACCCGATAGGTTCTTGAAATGCATAAAGGAAGGAAGTTGGCTTAAAGTTACAGTGAACGGATATAGGCCGCCTTCAGAGTCATTCTTAATTGGCTCTTCATTGGGAAACATTTTGCAAAGTGGATCTGTTCTGGTCGACATTCCTCTGGTTGATCAGAGTTTCTATGGGGACAGAATATGTGAGTACGAGGAAGAACTGAAAACAATTGGAGTGATGTTCAAGTACGGAGAAGCATGTGAATTTATTGGGAGACAACTTATGACTCGTGCAGCTTCTTTCACTTTAAGTAAAGGTCATGTGCTTTTGATACTTGCGTTCATTCAATATCTGAGGAAAAGTCTTCTTCCAGCTGATCAATTTGTCAACAGCATCAGAGGTGGAAGTTGGCTACGGACATCACGTGGTTACAGGTCTCCAGTTGGTTCTGTTTTGCATGATTCAAAGTGGCAAACTGCATCCCAAATTAGTGATATCCCTTTCATCGACCAGGCTTACTATGGTGGGGAAATATATGATTTCAAAGAGGAACTTAAGCTGCTAGGTGTGATAGTTGAATTCAACGGAAGTTACCAGCTTGTTATTGACCACTTAAAATCACCGCTGTATTCGAAATCTTTGACGGCTGAAGCTGTTGTGTTGATACTGGAATGCATACGTTTTGTGGATGTCCCTGACAAACTTGTTAATGCACTTAAAGGATCCAACTGTTTAAAGACGAATATTGGTTTCAAAACTCCCGGTGATTGTTTCTTGCTTGACCCTGTATGGGGTTGCATTCTTGATGTATTCAATGATTTTCCGGTGATTGATCATGAATTCTATGGAGACAAGATCTTCACTTACAAAAATGAGTTGAAGCAAACTGGATTGGTGGTTGATTTTGAGGAGGCAGTCAAAGCATTTGCTCATGTTTTCAAGCAGAAGGCATCACAAGCTTCCTTTAACAAACAGCATGTTGAATCATTTCTCTCGTGTTTCAGACGTCTGAAAGAAACTGAATATAAGTTTCCTTCAGATTTCTCAAAAATCATACATTCTTCCAAGTGGTTGAGGACTCGGGTTGGTGATTATAGGTCTCCAGGAAAATGCATTTTATTTGGTCCAGATTGGGAATCTCTCTCTCCAATTACTCGCCTTCCTTTCATTGATGACAGTGACAATTGTTATGGCAAGGCTGTACATGAGTATAAGGAGGAGCTGGAGAGTATGGGAGTTATTACTGATTTTAAACTTGGTGTGAATTTTGTCACTTCCAGTCTAAGGTTCCCTGCAGATCCTTCCTCTATAACTCCTGAGAATGTGTTTTCTCTGTTGGAATGCATCCAGTTATTGCTTAACCGTCATCAACCTCTCAAAGATGACTTCACAAAAGGATTATCCAAACACTGGTTGAAGACCCATGCTGGTTATAGGCCTCCAGACAAATGTTTACTGTTTGATTCTAAGTGGGATTCATTCCTAAAGCCAATGGATGGACCTTTTATCGATGAGGACTTTTATGGATCTAAAATTGCCCAATATAGTAAAGAACTCAACGAAATCGGAGTTACTGATGATGTTAAGAAAGGGTGCTCATTAATTGCCAGTCACCTTGACTTGCATTCTGAATTTTCCACCATAGTACAAATATACAGGTGCCTGAACAAATACGATTGGAAACCAGAGAATGAAGCTACCAAAAGGGTTTGGATTCCCAAGGGAGTTGATAATGGAGAGTGGGTCAATCCTGAAGAATGTGTCAATCACGACAAGGATGATCTTTTTGGTTCAAGGTTACATGTTCTGAAAAACTACTATGACAGAGAGTTGCTTTCTTTTTTCGCCTTAGCTATGGATGTTAGAAGCAAGCCCTCACTTGATGATTATATTGAGCTATGGAAGGAATGGGAGAGTTCTGGGGAACAGCTGTCACATGATAAATGCTGTAAGTTCTGGACTTTTGTTTTGCAACATAAAAGCCAGAAGAAAGAGAAAAACCTTGCTGAGAGCTTCATGAAACTACCCACTACATCAGGGTCCCATTTAATATCACTGTTAGAGAAGCGCGATGTTTTTGTTGCTGATAACCTTCATTTGAAGAATCTTTTTGAGCAAGAGAAACTATTTATCTGGTATCCTAAGCCAAGCTTGGCATCATTGCAGATATCTGAATTATTAGACTTATACAAGAAAATTGGTGTTCGCACTATATCTGAGTCTGTGATTAAGGAAGAATCATCCTTACTAGATGGTGTTGAACTCAAGCAAGTGGATCCAAGGAATATTTTCATTGGCAAGGGGTTGGTTAAACTTATTCTTGGCTTTCTTGCTTGTTCTAGCCTCAAAATGCAAGCAGAGAAGAGGCATGAAGCTGTCCGAGGTCTTCTTGACCTTACTGTCCACGAGACGATTGAACCAGTTACTGTTAGCTATAGTTTATCACTATCATCAGGGGACACCATTGCTAAGAAAGCAAACAGAATGATACGTTGGGAAAGGGAAAGTTCAAAGCTTTTCACCCAGAAGATGGACTGGGGTAATGGAAATACTAGTATGATAAAATATGCTACATATTTCTCAGAGGCAATCTCTGTTGGTGTATTGGGTGAGAATGTTGATCATGTTCTTGCACTCTCTCAGCTGATCAAATTGGCTTTCTTGCTGAAGTTTGATGAGGAAGCAGTTAATTTCTTGATGGAGTCCAAGGATTTGCAGATTTTCTGGGAGGATGAGGAGTTCCTCAGTTCTGCCTTCCCAGTTAACTAGGTCTGCATCGCTGAACTCAATTTTTATTTTGCTTTTTCCTAAACTCTTTTACTGGTCTGCATGTTCCTTTGATGCAATCCAGCCCAAGATGTATAAAAGAGATCAGAACAGACAAGTATGGATCCAGCCACAACCAGGCCCAAATTGACAAAAGGAAATTCCCACAGTGACCCGTAACAGAATGGAGCATGAGGTGGCATGAAGTTGGTTATATCTAGTGGGAAGAAAGGGGGAAAAAGGAGGCAGAAAGTGTGACGTCTTTGGGAGAGCGTGGGACCTCTAAAATTGTCTCACAAATTATCTTTTCATTCTGTTTAGCATTTTCTTTGTTAAGTGGTGTAATTTTTCTTTCCGTTGGAATTATTTTCATTCTGAGCTGTAATATCTTATATGAACGTTGAATCAATGGAATATTCAGATCTAGTTTCCCTTTAAATTTCTTGTTATTTGCTAATTATTTGTTAGACCATAACAAATTGGTATCAGAGCTCCGTCTGGGGAATGGTAGTGACGAGATCAATGGAGCATCAGATGGATTTGATCGAAGAGAGAATGTGTAACACCTCGTGTTAACCCGGTTTGTTAACATGTCATCGTATTAAGCCACGCTTAATTAAAAATGCGGAATATTCTTTTTATTTTCAATTATGACGTCATTATCTTTACCAAGTTGAATTACTTAATTCATTTCCAAAACATCGTCTGTATGAATATTGCAAAAGACAACTAACTGAAATACCTCATTAATTAATATCATAAATATGTCTCTAGTCACGGAACTACAACACGTAGACCGGACAACCTGATAGTTTATACAACACAGATAAGCTTAAACAAGACGGAAATCAAAGTGGCATGGACAAACCCCATGCTCGCCAAATAAGGCACAAGCCCAACAGCAGTCTCAACTCAATAATCATAAATGACAGAAAACATAAACAGCAACCAAGTCCACAACATGTCAGCATACAACATAATAACATGATAACAACACAATCTAACTCAACTCCGGCCTCCTACCGCCCGAGGTCTCAACCCCCGAGTTACCTGAACCTGAAATAAGCGTCCCCAAACGTGGGGTGAGATCTCTAAACAAGAAATCTCAGTAAGACAAGGGGTCCTCAAGGATCTTACCCCAAGCTCACTTACATGTGCAATATAAGTTCTAAAGCAGTTTACACAATATACATAAGTTCCTAAGTCAGTGTAATGCACAGATAACCATGTCATGTGTGTCAATATAATCTACTGGCTAGAGAAAATGCAGGAATACGTTTATTACCCACACAATGTGCAAGGCGCTACTTGCATCCACCCCAGTCTCACCATTTTGTATGACGCTACATACTCAGGCTTACTGTCAAAGTGGAACAACACATGCATATTATAAGGCCCTTACACTTAACAATTCAACAACATTTCAAATCATCAAGCATGAAAACACAGCATGCATATAAACCATTCCCCCATGGGATATGGTGGAACCAACAATGGCTAAGCCGAGGACTCGAAAGCTTACCTTGTAAGCTAGCTATCCAAACCAAGAGTCCACACAAGCTCAAAGCCCAAACATAGCAGAATCACAATCTGTTTCAGATCAACAATATATCAATAATCATGCTTAACAAGCATAAGACACAAAGACAACGCCTTTCCTTTTGCGTTTCATGTCTTTAGGCTTCTCACAAAGTCACAAGCCCTTAATCACTTAGATTCTGACTTAGTTAATTTTTACAGAAGTTCAACTTTCTCAAACTAGGGTCCACAAACCCTTAATAACCTTCTGAATGAACAGTGCAACTACTGTTCTTCGAAAACCCAGAATATCCGGATATATGTCGGGGGCATATCCGGATATCACATATCCGGATATCATATCCGGATATCACAAGACCCCATATCCGGATATGGATATCCATATTCGGATATCACAAGACCCCATATCCGGATATTTCGCGACAGAATGCATTTCGGCATTTCGCGATATATCCTTATCAAAGATAGTTCTTTTCATGCATACAGAGGCTCAAACATGCGATTTAAGGTGTGTTTAACATTACCCAACCTTAAGTTATCAACTTTAGCTCATTACATGCATCAATGTTCCATTTTTAACAAAGAAAACTCAAGAACAAAGGTGGTGATCATACCACAAGCTCAAAACAGTGGTGGATGATGCTCTTGGAGCTCTCACAACAGCTCCAAAACTCAGGCCTCCAATATCCACGAAGATGGTGACTAAGGTTGGTTCTATCTCACCAAATATAGCTTCTTGAAGCTCAAAACACCAAAAACAAGATAGCCCTTGTAACACCCCGTGTATACTCGGAATATTAACATTACATCGTATTAAGCCGTGCTTAATTAAAAATGCGGAATATTCTTTTTCTTTTCAATTATGACGTCATTATCAATTACCAACTTGATTACTTAATCAATTTCATAAAATATCGCCTGTATGTGAAATTGCAATAAGACATCTACTGAAATATCTCAATATATAGATAAAGTGTGTATCTAAATCACGGCATTACATCAAGTAATCCGGACAATATCCTGATACATTATTACAACTCCAAAAGACTCAAGACATAAACAAGACATAATAATACTATGTGTCATGGACAATCCCCATGCTCATCAAATAAACATAGTAAACAACAAGTCTCAACATAAAACTCCAAAGCATAAACTGAAGCTATAAGCATAAAAGCAGCATGCAAATCCAGCATCCAATCATGGCAGCATAATATAACAGCAATCTAACTCAGCTCCGGCCTCCTGCCGCCTGAGGTCTCAACATTACCTGACCCTGAAATAAGCATTCCCCAAACGTGGGGTGAGATCTCTAAACTAGAAATCTCAGTAAGGCAAGGGGTCCTCAAGGATCTTCCACCCCAAGCTCACTTACATGTGCAATATAAGTTCAAAAAGCATTTATATCATTATCAGTTCCAAAACTATGTAGTGCAACAGATATCTATGGCATGTGTGTAATCACTATCTACTGGCCAGAGAAATGTAGGAATACGTCTATTCCCTACATGTAGTACAAGGAACACCGCTTGCACCTCACCCACAGCCTCACCCTCTTGTATGTTCTACATACTCAGGCTTACCGTATAGGTGGAACACCTCCATGCATATCAACAAGGCACTAACATACAATAGCTCAACAACATTTCCAAAACATCAAAAGCATGTAACACAGCATACATATACCATCTCCCCATGGGACATGGTGGAACCACAACATGGCTAAACCGATGACACGAAAGCTTACCTCTAAGCTAGCTATCCAATGCCACAAGCTCAAAGTCCAATTACAGCAGATCACAATCTGATATGGACCAAATATAAATCAATAACGTGTACCACATGCATACAAATTAAAGACAACGCCTTTTCATTACGTTTTCAAGTCTTAAAGCTTCTAACAAAGCCACAAGCCCTTAATCCCATGATTCTGGCTTAGTCCATTAAATACAAAAGTTCAACTTCATCAAACTAGGGTCCACAAACCCCCAATAGCCTACTGTACACACAGCACAGCTACTGTTCTGTGAAATCCCAGAATATCCGGATATTCCTCGGGACCATATCCGGATATGCAATATCCGGATATCTCACTGTCCATATCCGGATATGCAATATCCGGATATACAGATTCACATATCCGGATATCCAATATCCGGATATCCCAAAACCACATATCCGGATATCCAATATCCGGATATCTGTTCGACAAATATCCGGATATTTCACGACAGAATGCAGTTTCTGCATTTTCGTGAAGATATCCCTTAAAGGTTCCCTTTTTACCGATTTTAAACACCTAATCATGCATTCTAGGCGTGTTCAACATTACCCAACAACAAGTTATCATCTTTTAGTCATTAGATGCATCAAGGTACCATTTTTAAGCCTTAAAACTCAAGATCAAAGGTTGGTATACATACCAAAGGCCAAAACAGAGGGTCAACTGCTCATGAAGCTCCCAAAACAGCTTCAACAGCTACTGGGAATATGGTGTACGAAAATGCTACACTAAGACTTGACCTTTCTACCCAAAGGTTGCTTCTTTAAGCAACAAAATGCCCAACTCAAGCTTCCACAACCAAGCCAACCAAGTCATCCCCAAAACTCTCACCAACAGTGGCTGAGCACTCAGAGAGAAGCACCCTTCTCCCTCACCAAGCTCACTCTCAAGTGTTTACAAAGGAAGAATGAAGGAAAAACAAGAAAGGAAGTGCCTTGGACCCAAAATGGAGAAGAAACCCCACAAGTCAGCCAAGCTGATCAGCCACCCTCAACTCTCACGCTCAAAATCTGTTTTCTAGGGCATTGTGCCCTTAGAAATGGGTATTTATAGCCACAAGTCACTTAAACACGCAGTATTAAATTTAATTGCTACGCTTAGCATTTTAATCCCAAACTTTGAATTATGAAACTACATAATTTTTTAAGATTTATCATATTTTTCTTATATTTTTCTGAGCACCTTTCCGGTACGCGCTTTTCAAAGCCAGTACCGGTTTCTAGCACCAGTTCTCATTATTTGGACTTGAAACTCGTTTTACAAGTCCTACATATTATTCTAGTAATTATCATGCACTTACTATAATTTTCCGGGATACTTTTTTGGTACGCATTTATACCGACTAGCAGAACCGGTATCTGCAGTTTTCTTCCGAAAAGCGACTTTCAGCATTCTTAATCACTTATTATGATTATTAAGCCTCATAAATAATTATTAGGGTCAATTATGGAATCATTTCCTATTTTTGCATAATTAATTAATTAAATACCTTAATTAACGGTGCGGGTTCTTACATTCCTCAACCCAAACTTCAAACTCAGTCCTTAACCCATACACACAAAGGCCATAGACAGAAAAGAAACACTCTCCCACCCTCACAAGGATCACTCATACAATGCTCAAGTGTTTAGATGAAGGAACTTGCACCAAAGGTGATTGCTTTGGCTCACAAGAGGGAGGAAGGGAGGCAATGGAATAGTGCACAACTGATCATCCACCAAGGAGTCTCACGTAGAATGCATACATGCCTAGGGTTTTGTGCTAAAATGCATATATATAGCCACTTAGGAATTAAACATACAGTATTATCGTTAATTTTTACGCTTAGCATTTTAATCCCAAACTTAGGATTCTGAACCTTCTCAGTTTTCTAAGATTTGTCATATCTTTATTTTATTTTTCGCAGCACCTTTCCAGTAGGCGCTTTTCCATAGCCATTATCAGTTCTGGCATCAGTTCTTATTATTTTGACCTGAAACTTGTTTTACTAGTCCTACATATTATTCCAAGAATATTCATGCACTTATTATAATTTTTCGGGATACTTCACTGGCACGCATTTATACCGGGTAGCA